GGGCCCGTTCGGACACGGTGCCTGGACGCCCCACGCACCTCCACGGGCGGTCATCGCCTGACCGACCCCTCCTGCTGCTGTGCTGGCACCCCACGCCCGCCGGCGGTGGCGCGTGGTCGGGGCCAGTCACCAAGCAGGGCTGCAGCGGTCAGCTTCCGAGGCCACCACCAGGTGGACGCCACCTGCCTGCAGCTCACACGAAGCTTCTGTCTTGGAGGTGACGTCCGGCCGCAGCGCGGCCAGATGCTCCTCCGTGTCAGGGCTGCGCTTGGAGGAGCCCCCAGGGCTGCGCTTGGGGTAGGAGTGCCCCAGAGGCTGATGCAGAGGGACTTGGGGGGGTCACAGGTGGCACAGAGGCGCCAAGGCACCTGGAGCCCCGGCTGCCGGCTGCAGAGGGACAGGCCCGGAGTGGGGCCAGGCTGACCCCCGGAGAGTGAGGACACTCGGGAGAGGGTCCTCGGCAGCGGGGTGGCGGGCTGTGTTAAGAGATTTATTTTTGCTCGCAAGAGCTGGGGTGCAAGAAGGGGGTGAGAGGGCTCCCCAGAGACAGGGTGGGCAGCAGACCAGGCCGGTCCCCTGAGACCCACGGCTGAGGGGCAGCAGGGGAATGGAGGGTCTGCTGTGCCCGGGCTCGCTCCCTGGCCAGGAGGACGCGAACTGCGGGGGCTGCGGGCAGCTTCGTAGACTGAGGCTGACCCCTGCTCCAGGGAGGCCCCGTGGGGTTGTTTTTGGGGTGCAGGCAACAGCCCGGAGTGGTGGGTCCCGGCACACACGGCTCTGCGCCAGCCCACCTTAAAAGCCGCTGGCCACTGGCTCCCACTTGCCCTTGGGGCGGCCGCGGGCGCACAATCGGCTCAAGCTACCTGCAGGGGGGACACAGGCTGCTCCCGGCGAGTGGACGTGCACGCACCTCAGCCGAGTGCGGTGGGCTCCCGGGCAGAGGCCGAGGGACGGTCAGTAAGCGCCCGCCCTGGGGCCCCACGCTGAGCGTGCGCCAGGCCAGGGGGGCGGCGGGGTGCTGCGGGTACTGCCGGGCAGAGAGCAGACCGAGGCGACCCGGCTGACCGGGCACAGACGCGCTATCCTCAGACCCGAGTCCCGCTGACGGCCCTGTGCGACCCGGCCCGACCTCCGAGACGTGCCCACCCCGCGCACTGCAGCCCCCACCGGGACGCTCGGCGGCGCGGCGGGAAGACACACTGGTGCTGCGGGGGCCGGACACGCCCCTTCAGCCGGCCGTGGCCACACCGGGGCCGGGCAGAGGCAGAGTGGACTGCCGGCCGCAGGCCAGACCCG